GAGTTTCCAAATTGCCCTATACATTTTTGGACTTACCAGGATCCACAATCTCATGAAGCAATTCCTTAAAATAAACTTCTCCCACCCCTCCAACCTTACTCTCACACTTGTTCTGTGTGTGTATGTGTGTGTGTGTATTCTATTAATTCTGGAGAACACTGACACAACACACTGCTAAACATTCTACAATTCTCAGAACGGTTCTACACAACAAAGAATTATCAGGACCAAAATGTCAATAGTGCTGAGGTTGAGAAACTCTGTGTTAGGCCAAGAGAATTTTAAAAAAGCAACTAACACATATACACACGCATAATAATAAAATGAAAAAGGACATAGACTTGTTTGAATAATTAAGTGTTTGTCATCTTAGTAAATATAACTTTTTGCTCTTACAACTTTAATGCTAGATTTATTACAAATATTAATCATTTAAATAAATCAAAGGATCTCTAAAAGCAAGACAGAAAATTATGGCAGAGAAGTTTAAATTTTCCACAAACTATGCAGATTGTTTTTCCATTTGTACTTTAATACTATGGACTAAATACTAGGAAAGCTACTTACTTCTCAAAGCCTCCACATTTTCACCTTTCTTTCTGTATGTCTTCTGAATACCACTGATTCTGAAAAACAGTTTTCTATTTTAAGTATTTAAAGCAATTTGTAAGTATGTGTGTTTACATGTATAATATTTTTGATCAAAGCTGTCATATTTAATAGGAATAATAATAATGTGCCTTCCTACTAAAACAAAAAATCAAAGAAAGTTGACAGTAACTATACAGTTGACCCTTGAACTCAGGGGTTAGGGATACCAACCCTCACACAGCCAAAAATTCATATATAACTTTTGACTCCCCAACAACTAAACTACTAATAATAGCCTACTGTTGACTGGAAGCTTTACCAATAACATAAGCAGTCAATTAACACATATTTTGTATGTTATAAATTAATACTATATTCTTACAATAAAGTAAGCTAGAAAATTTTAAGAAAACCGTAAGGAAAATATATTTACAGTACTGTATTGCATTTATTGATACTATAAGTTTACATCATCTGTTTACAAGATAAATTGTATGACATGGTGGGAAACCACAGCTGCAGACCTTAATCTACGCTACATATCAAACAATTCAACTTTTTCTTTTAATGCCATGACTTTTCTCTGCTTCTTGGGACACTTCCAGCATCACTAGTTGCACTTCCTATGGATCCTGTAATGTTATTCAAGGTTTACAGTACTACACTAAACATGATAAAAAATATGCAAGAATCACAGGAGATTACTTTTTATTGTGATATGCAATTTACTGGAGAGATGAACTGCTCGCAAGGAGACAAACAGTGACACACAGTGTTTAAGCAGATACTTGCAACAGTTGAGTTTACTGCAATAGGAGGTGGCTACGAAATTATTATAGTAGTATAGTATATACTACAGTTAATTTTATGCAGCTATGATTTAATACTGCATCTTCATGACTGTTTACATTTCTCTTAACTATGAATGGCACTGTGTATGGTAAGTGATGGTAAGTGTTTGTGTAAGTTTTGATAAAGTTTAACTTTCTATAACAGATTTGTGTATATTTTATGGTAATAAATGATAAAACAGACTAACATCTACATATATTTTATGCATTCATGACATACCTAACCTTTTAATTTTTTTGATATTTCTAAGCTACACAGTTTATCTGCAAGTTTTTTCAAATTGTTGTAAATCTCAAAAAAATTTTCCAATATATTCATTGAAAAAAATCCATGAATAAGTGGACCTGTGCAGTTCAACCTCATGTTGTTCACGGGTCTACTGTAAACTTATTTCAAAGAAACTACAAGAGAAAAGTATAGTATTCCTTTTCATATTAAGTGCCATTCATTCATTTTTCATGCCAAGCCAACGTCTAAAAATAAGTGAAGTTGGCCAGGCATGGTGGCACATGTGTACAGTCCAACTACTTGGGAGGTGGGAGGATTGCTTGAGCCCAGGAGTTCAAGGTTACAGAGACCTACAATCATGCCACTCCACACCAGAGCCTAGGCAACAGA